TAGAAAGATCCCGGGCGTACCGACCATCAATGCTTTTTTATCTACATTTTGTATATGGAAAAACATCGAGAGAAAAAATCACTAATACTTATTCAAGAGTGTTTGTATAGTATAGTGTAGTACAGTACAGTACAGTACAGTACAGTATAGTATAGTATAGTGGAAAGCGTTGTTATGTCTTGATGAGGGAGATTACAGTCAGAATGCATTCCCACTGAACACAGACAATTAATTAACTGTTGAAACAAGTTAAAACGAATTAAGTTTCCTGTAGTTTAGAGATTTAGCTCCAAACACAGAGAAGATCCACAGCATGACACGGACAACGATAACGGTAGAACACTATAACCTATAAATAGTCTGGCTACAGTGGAAACATCAGCGAGCAAATGCCGGCTACCATTATATAATATAAGGAGAAAATCCATTTGCTCTCAGCGCTACTTTGCTCTGCAAAATTCTCTCTTAAGACTGCCTTTAAAACTCCTCTTGGGGTCTTAAGAGTGTATAAAGAGCATGAAGAATGATAGCGAGAACCTGACCAGACTGCTCTCCACCCAGAGCCGGGCTCGTATATAAATTATGGCCAGACTTTTTCTGGATCAAACTTTCTTTTTTTTTTCCCGCTTTGAGTTTATGAAACTCTGAACTGATTACATTTTCAAAACCCTCAAAAAGCTCTAATTAGCATTTCAGACTTCAGAGCAGCAGCTCCGTCCCACCCCTCCTCCTCCTTCTGTTTTGCTGGTGGACCAGAGATGAAGGGCCGTAGAGGAGATAAGAGGAGGAGATGCACATAGGGGAAGATAAGGCGCAGAGACAGGGGCTGTGGACTCCTTAGCATCCATTTACAGTAACTTTGGGTCATCTGCTATAATGGCCGTTCCAGGCAGCTGTTTACTTCAGGTCAGAACAGAAATAAGGCTCGACAACGTAGCATAAGAACACAGATAATAACTGATCATTTTCAATAATCTATTTTTTTATAAAGACCAACAGAAAAGGGGCCCACATATGTTTGCCTCGTATGTTTCCATTCAAGTGAAGCATCGAACTGAACTGATGAAGAGTGTGTTGTCAGTACACATCACTTCATCACATCGTCATCTCAGCCCCGATTCAGAAATGTGTAGGAATCATATTTACAATCCATACAGCTGCATTAGCCACCTTCATTAAAGCAGTTAGATTCTCCTTTAACCCAATTTCTTACTTTACAACTTACTCAAGGACCTTTACTTCATCCTTCATGCAGAGTAGAACCAAAACAGCGGTCATAGAAGGTACTGTGTGAATGTGTGATCTTAGATTTACTGGCAAAGTTTTACAGACACACAAAGGTACGATTCACGAGCGAGCAGCTAGAAGCGATGTTTGGGCACACAGCAGCCAGAAACAGTAAAGCTGAGGACACTGGGAAATACTTAAACAGCATCAAGAGAGACACAGATATGGACAGATCCTAA